TTTGTTTGTTCTCTCTTTTAGCTATCATTACCAATTCTCTTTCTTTAATTACTATCCAAACCTCTTTATGATTATTCATATTATGCCTCAACATTTGGTACTTATTTTAGAGTACTTTGTGTATAGCTCCTAATTGCCCTGCTAGATTGTAAGTCCCATGAAAAAAAAGGGCCACATCTTACTTGTCTTTGTGACCTCTCTGGCTTAGCATCTCCAGAAGATCTGTTGAAAGACAAATGAAAGGAAGCAGCTTGAATGGCTTAGTGAGCAAAAGATTTTGCCCAGGAATCTGAGGGCAGCTGCATGGTATAGCCTTGAACCCATTCCCTCGTTCTAAAAATAAATCTGATGGATGGCATCTCCCCTTTCTCCAACAAGGCGATTTGGAGGTGAAACTGGGTTGTACCTAACATTCTGAGCCTTTCAGAGATAGAATTCCGTAATTTAGTTAAATGGCATCTTGTGCTAGAGCCCACTTTTAATGGGAAGACTTTATTGCAAGTTTTCTGTAAAATAAATAGATAAATAAATGATTTTGCCTTTCTGGTGATTCTGGAATTGTTGTAGAAATCATAAATCAACAGTGTACCTGGGAGCTAAGTTAATTACCTCTCTCTGCCCCCAAGTTGTTCTTTTCATGACCCTGGGGAAAGTCACCACCTTTTCTTACATCGTTTCTGGCTTTTATCAGAATGTGGTTTGCCTCTGTATGAAATAGAACTATAGAAATTTCACATTTTAAACAAACTGCACCAACAGTGCCTAGTACATAATTGGGTCTTGGTAGTCATGGAATAAATCAGAGCATCCAACAAACCATGTCCACCTTCAGGGATATTCCAACCTGTTAGCCGGGCCTTTCCCCCAGCTTCCGCTTGGGAGGTAGAGCAGATTCATTCGTTAACATTGTCACCAAGTGTTCTCACCATCAAATGCTGCCGTAGATTTCTCGGAGACCTCTGGTTCTCCTGGGCGGTTTGCTGCACTACTTTGTCCAGGCATCCTCGTCACATCTCTGGACATCATCATGTCCTGTTGTGTAGCACGAGGGACCTGAGGCGTTTCCCCTCCTAAACTGTGTGATGCCGAAGGACAGAGTTGTGTCTTATCTTCCTTGTGTCGCCCCTTCCTCGTGTCGTACAGAATGGACAGGGTGCAGAGAAAAAGGAAGGAAAGAACGATAGGAGCAGGTGGTCTCCAAATGTGGAGCGATTCCCCCTAGAGATTGTATGCCAAAAATCTATTGGGATTCAGGAAGAAATTGTTCAAACTTCCAGTTCCATTGTGTTTGTTTTTATCTTGACTATCGTCATTTCATTTTTTGTGTCGGTTGCATACTAGAACACATGATATTAACATAGTTGTACTTGTGTTGTACTTAAAATTAAGCACATGCCGGAAGGCAAGTACTCAAACCTGGCTTGGGTCAGGCACACCTTACTCCTCAAAGTCACAGCCTTGCTTTCCAAACTTGGAAGAGGTCTTTGGGAGTAAGTACATGTACCCTGTGCAACGTGTCATTTGGTCTCTTGACTGCTGATTATTTAATTTAGTCCACTGAAAATCCTACATGATATATTCTATGATCTCCATTTTACCAATTGTACGCAATGGGGAAATTACTTAACCTCTCTGTGCCTCCGCCTGTTGCATAGAGTGGTAAATGATGGGACTGGAGCCCGGACTTCAGTCTGTCTGGCCTAACTCCTGCCCTATTCTCTTCTCTCTATTGCAGCACCTAAGTGCGTGGCGCCAGTGCAGCATATAGGCTGTGGCAATTCAGTCAAGGCAATGTTAGAAAAATTATGACTGTGCAAATGACATGTACTTTTTCCGAGTGTACAAAGATAATGACAAGCCAAACGGCATAGTAGATTAGGTCTTGGGCTACTGCCAGGTCAGCTGTTCAAAGCTATGAGGCTTTTTACTCCTATAAAGAGTTACAATCTCAGAAACCCACTATTCGACTGCAGGGACTATTCTACCCTGTCCTATAGGGTTGCTATGAGTTAGCATGGACTCAATAGCAATGTGCTTGATTTTTTGGTTATGACACGTTAGAAAAAGAAGAAGAATGTGTAGTCTCGTCTCTTGACAGAGAAACTAAAGTCAAGGACAGCCAGTCTCTTGTTTACAGACAGATGGCTCAAAGCCAAGCGGCTGGAGTTCTCACTTTCACATCTGATTACTAAAGGACATTTATTTTAAATGGAGGAATAATTCACACACCACAAAGTTCACCCTTTCAAAGTATCTAAGTTGATTGGCTTCAGTGTATCCACAAGTTTGTACAATCCCCACCACCATCTAATTTCAGAAGGTTTTTGCAGTTCCATTACCCCAAAAGGAGACCCTGAACTCATTCGCAGCTGCTCTGCACCAATCTGCTCCCCATCTCTGGATTGGCCTATTCTGGAATTTTCATATAAATGGAATCATAAAGCACATGGCCTTTTGTATCTGGCTTTCTTGCACTTAGCACAGGGGTGGGAACCCTTTTTCCTGCCACGGGCCTTTTGGGTACTTATAGCATCATTGGCGGCTGTGCTGGTCTAACAATCATGAACTCTCCCCTGGAACTGTCTCTCTGGTGAAGCAAGTGCTGTCAGATGGTGTCCGTGGTGCGTGGGCAGTCTCACCATGTCCTTACAGGGTCAAAATCCACTCGATGGCAGTGCGTTTGGTCTTGAGTGCTGAGTGGTCCTGAGTGCTGAGTAGTCCTGAGGGCTGGACATTCCCCACCCCACCCCCCACCCCCAGACTTTGCTTGATGTTCTGAAGGTTTATGCACGTTGCAGCAGGTGTCAGCATGCCATTTCTGTGTAAGGCTGCACCACATTCCAGTACGTGTACTAGCAGCCACAGAGAGGTCCAGGAAAAGCAGAACCAAAGTAGTGAAACCTTTCCTCGAAATGCCTCCTATCCATTCATCAGTTCTCAGTTCGGGGATGGTGTAAACAATGCTGCTATGAACATTCTTGGACATGTGGGGCATGTATTTTCGGGGGGGGGGGTCCATGGGGTGAAATAGCTGAGCCGTATGGTAACCCATTAGGCATAGTTTTTTGGGGAATTGCCATACCGTTTCCTGAAGCGACTCTACCATCTTCTGGTCTCACCAATAAACGTGTGAGCGTTCCAGCTTCTCCACAATCTAGCTCTTATTTGTGGCTATCTTTTATATCCTGATGGTGTCGCAGCCACCTGTAGGGCTGCAGTCCTCATGGTCAGCAATTCGAAACCACTAGCAGCTCTGGGCTTGCTACTCCCATAAATAGTTATACTCTCGGGAACCCACAGGGGTCACTATAAGTCAACAGTGACTTCATGGTAGGGAGTTTGCCTTTTGGTTTCTTTTTCTTTGTTGTTGTTTTTGTTTTTCTGAGGGGGGCGTATTTATATATCTATAGCCCTTGTGTGCTGTCATATCTCATTGTGATTTTGATTTGCATTTCTCTAATGATGTTGAGTATTTTTTCATGTGTTCATCCCCTTCCCTACCATTTCTTTTGAATTTAAGTGATACCTAGTTCCTTCATTTTCTGGATTATAAATTTTGTCCTCCTTACATACTCAGTGTGCCCCAGCACCCATCTCCAGGCACATGATATGCAGTACTCCCACGAGCTCCTCGCTAGGGATGGCATTGCCTGAGCTTCCACAGCAACTTTCCAGAAAATCTCCATGTCACTTGGGATGCCAACCTTTCCTAACCCCACATGGTGATGATAAGAATGCTTTTATTAAAGCTTTTCATGTCATAGGGACATGACTTTTTAACCAAAATTACATTTCCTTAACGTTTTACACCCTGTGAAGTAGAAAAGAAAACACATTCCCTGTCACAGCACTCTGCTGTGAGAACATTTTAACCATGTGGAAATGAGCATTTCTCTCATGTTTGTTTTTGGCCAGAAAGAAAGCCAAGGGGAGGTATTAGGAATTCCCTGTGCCAATTTCTGCTCTGTACATCGAAAGTATATTTGTATTAGCCTGTAAAGATGATGATTTGTAGTAGTGATCTTGAGAGAAGCATATGCCTGACATATTATTACATCCATAGCACAGTTCACATGGGTTACTGTAGCTGGGGGGCCTTCTGCCTTCCACACTTCCAGATCTCCCCTCTTCCTGTAAATTGAATGTATTTGGTCATGATATTCATGATGAAATCCATCAATTCCCTTAGTAAGCTGGAATTTTTTTATGGGAAGTATTTTTGGGTTTGTTTTTTAAGCTGCTTTGACTTCTTAGTTATGTAGTGAATGCACGCGTGTTGGTGGACTGCCTCCTAGACCCTAGCCATGGGAAATACAGTGGCTATAGATAGGTCTGATACCTGCCGGCGTAGAACTCACAGTCCGCCCATGAACATGGATTGCATGGGAGGATCACCATTCTGTGCTGACAGTGAACCCTTGAGGGTTCTGTGAGAGCTCGTACCCGTGCGGGGACCCAGCCTGAGGCTGTCAGGAAAGGCGTCCCTGCGGAAAGCCGCACACTGTGGAACACGAAGGATTGCCCAGGACTTTGCTGGAACACAGAGACTAGCATGGGCACAGGGACTAAAGCAGGCATGAGTGCATGTTTTTGAGGACTTTAAAGAAAGGCAAGGAGTAGGCTACAATGTACTAGGTGCATGTTGGGCTGCAATCCACCTGGTCGGCAGTTTGAAATCACCAGTACTTCCGTGGGAGAAAGACAGGGCTTTCTACTCCCATAAACAGTTACAGTCTCGGAAATCCACAGGGGAGAGGGGGCGTCGCTATGAGTCAGCAGTGACTTGTTGGTAATATGTTGGTTTGGGTTTTCCCTCCTTTGCTTTAATGCAGGGCAGAGTGGCTGGGGTCTGGAGGAGCAAGAACAACACGATGGGGTGGGCTGTCCTCTGAGGCATCTTAGGAATCCAAGGGTCTCTCAGCGGGGAGCCATGGGGGGGATTATGGTGGAGGCATGGTATCTATTGGTAACTCACTGTCCTTGTCTTCCCTCTTGGTCAGGATTACGACTGTAGGAACTATCAGCCCAACCCGATGAGTGAGTCTGAGCTGCAGATGCTGGCAAGCTTGCGGCGGCAGCAGGAGCAGGACGAAGACCTGGAGGAGGCTGGGGTCTCCCATGGCCTGAGTGCATCCCAGGTGGACAACTGCAACGTCAGCATAAGCACCAGCAGTGATGACACGGCCACCTGGAACTCCTGCCTGCCACCTGTGAGTGCCAGGCTTTGCATTTTCGGCATAATACCTTAGTGGGGAGGAAGTGCCTCGCTAAGGAAGCCCAACCTGCACTGGGAAAACCAGGGCCAGAAAGAGAACCAAACTCCAAAACACGCTGCCATCAAACCCGCTCCAACTCAGCGACCCTAGGGGACAGAGTAGACCTGCCGTGGGCTTCCGAGGCTGTAAATCTTACAGTGAGCAGAGAGCATCTATCTCCATAGAGCAGCTGGTGGTGAGATCAGCAGCCCAACGGTTAGCAGCCATAGTAACCAGCTATGCCACCAAGGCTCCCTCGAATGAGAGCTCATTGTTGTTGTTAGGTGTCACTGCATCAGTTCTAACCCAAAGCCACCCTGTGCACAGCAGAAGGCAGCACTGCTCAGTCCTGCACCCTCCTCACAATTGTTCCTGCCCTTGAGCCTATTGTTTCTGCCAGTGAAATGAGAACATGCCCCAGGAATCGTCAGAGCCCATCTGGAAATACCCTGTTTCGGAAGTGCGGACAGCAAATAGGAGGTAGCGCTGTCCTTTCTTAAATGGTTTTTCTGTCTTTGGTGTGGCGATATATAAATCCACCTATAGGAAAAAGATGAAGCTGGGTGTCTGAGCTATCCTCCACACAAAGCAGGGGCTCAGGGAACAACTGTAGATATAATAAGCATCGCTCAGATACCAGGACAGGGATAAGTCTTCCCTAGAAGTCATCGGGTGCTACTTGGCACCAGTCTGGGTTTCCAGGCCGTGATCGGTGCTGTGGATACTTCAGAGACGTCTGTTCCCCACGTTTACACAGTGAGAGCACTTTGAGAACCTGGCAGAGAAGCTAGAGCAGCTCTTAGTCTTCACGTGTTTCAGGTGAAGAAGTGGAAATGTGGGACCAAGTTTCCATGCCTGGTCAAATCTGAACCCAGTTTCTTAACTCAGGCCCTTAACTCAGACTGTCCTCAAGAACCATATCATTTCAAAGCACAAACAGCCCAGTATATAGTCCAGGGAGTCCCATAATGAAGAATCATCTTTATAGTAATGGTGCTTATAACTATCATTGCTTAAGGATTAGAGTCATTTTAAGACTTCCATAGGCTCAGGGAATGTTTCCTCAAAAGACCACATGCAGTGTCACAGCAAATAGATATTAAAATACACTTTCAAAAAAAAAAAATACACTTTCATCCAATAATAACTAAAGCTTTTTTACGATACAGTTTACTAAACAGGAAAGGTTCCTACAGTTGCACTCCTTTACTCACGTTTATATATAACCATATGAAGGTTGAATTACTATGCACATGACAATAGCCAGGTTATTTTTTAGGTATTTAAACATATATTAATTTTGCTTTTGCAATTCTCTCTTTGTATCTTCCTGCCCATTTTGTCCCAAGCCTATAATATCTGTGTAGGTCTTAGCAACCTCTCAGGCATCTAGTGCTTCCCAGGGGTTATCTAATTACTTCTCGCTGACATCCTATGTGGTAAACACTATTAGAACCCCCAGCTCCCAGGTAACAAACCTGACTCTTTAGTAGCACCAAGTCTGAGCTCCTAACACCACCATATGTGGCTTCTTGATAGGTGACTGAATTGTTGAATGAGTGCTCTGTGTATCTGATGGAAAGTGGCATATCTGTGCTCTGTAGACAGCTTACAAGACTTCAGGGAAAAGGAGGAATTCAAATTATCTCTAAGGAGATGGGAAGATGGGACCAAAAAAAAAATGTTAACTCTTCTTTTGTCTTCTTAATCTTCCTCTTTTCCTCCTCACCACCTCTTACTCATTCCCCAGTCTTCTCTTACGTTCATTGAGCTCTTCTTATTTCACAAAACTATCAAGCATGCCTGGGACCTGAAGCAGCAGGGGTGCCAGCAACTATCCATCTACTCAGCCAAAAACCTCCCATGGTTCTAGTTACTCTAGGCGTCCTTGTACCCAGACCTGAGAACACAAGAGCCAGGGCAGATTTTTACCCATGCAATTTGCAACCGAATCAAGATGATGCCTTTCCTATAAACTGTTTCTCAGCCATCATTTAAACCTTAAGTAAGGAAGAGAACAGCGGCCTCCTGATCGAGCTCATTCTGTCACGAAGTAGCTCGGAGACCAACATTACAAAGGGCAAGCTGAGGAATGATTATTTATAGACTGAAAAGGCTGAACTCTTGGTTGCCCTGGATACCGGGTACTCATCACTGTCCTGCTCTGGCAAAGACTGAATCTCCTGCATGCCAACAATTCCCCTCTCAACGTGTATGGCCAAAAATAACACTACTGGTTATGAGCTTAATGATGCCTCCATTTGGCCAAATGAGAGATTGAAAACAGCCTGTTATTTAGACAGAGAAAATATTGAAGAAGTTACCTTTGTATTCATACATTTAGTATTGCATCAAATTCATTCTATTCCAAAATTGGAACTATCACCAAATGGAAAATTGCATTCCCTAATGAACTCTGCATTGTGTGTAAACTTAGAGAGTTTAAATGGAGCCATTGTGAGCACTGTGGCGATCGCTCTGAGAGCTCATGGCTTTCTCATTAGACATTGTATGAGGGACAGAAAAAGAAGAAATAAGAGAGCTAGTCATTTTGTTTATCACGATGCTATTTTGAAAATCAATTACATATTGTCTTCATGCATTCACCATCCTCTGAGAATGGAAGGGTGTTTGTAGATCATTATTTTAATATTAATACCCCTCCCTCCCACTCCCCAACACAGAAAAGGAAAGGAATCCTTGTTTAACACAATGGTGACAAGAAAGGAGGACATAAACCTGAGATTTTCTAGGGTATTCAAAATAATTACGAAGCGTCTAGCATTATCAGTCATTCCGTATTCCGAGAATACAACAGGCAGGTGAACTCAGCAGCAGCATCAAGTCCAACCGCTCCTTCCACACGGCCAGTTCTCTTTCCGCTCGCCATACTTTTCTTGATAGACCACTCATTGTTCATTCCATAGTGACACTATTCCAGTTCAAGAGCTCAAGGCCGCTCTTGAATTTTGGATTCTAATGGGGATCATCTCAGCCCACCCCCTCCTCAAACGCAGCATAGCTGAGCATGTCCTTCCTCCTACCTTACCACCCTCCACCCTGGATGTCAGGGACTGGAGCCACCATCCGCAGCTCGGTGCCTCCCATCCGAGCAGCTGATGGTTAGGAGCATACACTCCAAAGCCCAATGGCCAAGGTTCAAGTTGAAATCATGACTTTAAAAAGTACTTGGCACTGTGTCTGAGACATCCTAAGCATCTAATAATTACTGTTTTAATTATTTGCATTAGCAGTCTTTCTAAAGCCCATATCCAATGTTGTCTCTTTCCTGATTTAAATCCTTCAGTGACACACCACTGTCTTTCGAGTTTAGTCTACAAGTCCCTTTGTGATATGAAACCTGACCCCCATCTACCCTCATGGCTCACTTCCTTCCCTGCTCCTCGCCCCCCTCTCCCTCGCCTTTCACTCTGTGCTTTAGTTCAGTTGTAATTCCCTCAGTGCACTGTGCACATATCCTTGTACTGAATGATCCCTCCAGACCTGTCTCTGAAGTCTCTCTAGCCACCTCCCTAGGACTCCTTGTGAAGGACATACTTTTCTTTTGGCCACTAGAGCTAGGAGGGTCTCCATAACTCTCATCACATGAGTGACCCAGTTTGCTTGTCTCTCTCCCATTATTTCATTCCACATATATCTTATTTGAGTTATGCACTATGCTGTGGACTTGTTGGGTGGTAAGGATACAAATAAGGAACTGCCCAGCCTTGAGATGCTCCCAATTTCAGAGAGAAGCAGGATGTAAGCAGCCATTCGAACTCAGGGTAGTAAAGGATCATAGAATAAAGAGTTTTGAGGACACCAGAAATTCATTCTTCCTACTCTTTTCCACCAGAAACCCCCTCCACTGGAGGGGAAAAAACAACTAGCAATCCACTTCTGTAAAAAGCACAGGCTAGAAAGCCCGAGGAAGAAGTTCTCCTCGGTACTTCCATGGGTTCGCTGTGAATTGGAATTGATTCAACATCGTGCAACTGCATTACAATTGTTTTCCAGGATTTTTTGCATAGAAGTCAATAGTTAATCGAGAATTTAAGAATGAGTGCAAGTTCACCAGTAGACAAGAGGGAGAAAGGAATTCCAAGTTTGAAAGGGAGAAGAAATTAGTTGGGAAGACAAGGGAATTCGGGAGTGGAGATAACTTCCCACAGTGCTTCTGTTTATCCATCAGCTTGAACAAGACTCTAAATCAGTGGTTCTCAACCTTCCTAATGCCATGATCCTTTAATACGGTTCCTCATGTTGTGGTGAGCCCCAACCATAACATTATTTTCCTTGCTACTTCATCACTGTAATTTTGCTACTGTTATGAATCAGGTGTCCCCTGTGAAAGGGGTCACAACCCACAGGTTGGGAACCACTGCTCTAAATGAATGCCTGCTTCTGTCTCACCATCACTACCTGCCCCCTGCCCCCTCCACCCAAGAGATGCACAGTTGTTCATTGCCATCAAGTCGCCTGCACCCCATAGCAGCCTTATGTCGAACAGAAGAGAACCCTGCCAGTCCTGAGCCCTAGTCATGATCCGTGCTGTAGTGTACGCATCTCCTTCCTGGTTTCCTCGTTTTCGCTGACCCGCGACCTTTCCTAGTAATTGGTCTTTCCTGTTGACACATCCAAAGTAAGCAAGGAATTTCTCACCCTCCTAACTTCTAAGGAGCATTCCGGTTGTACCGTAAAACGACTACACCAGAGCTGCACTTGATGATTGCCTCTCATAGGATGAGCCATCCCGTTCATCCTAGATCATGCCCTTGCTCCAGAACTTTCCTCCCTGGAATGGTCTTCCATCTCCCTTCTGTACCTAGAACAGCCCTACTCGTGTCCTAAAGACACCACTCAAATATCATGGTCTACATGAAATCCTCCCCAACCCCCGACCTACCCAGAACAGAATTAGTTCTTCTCTAGGTCCCCTGATGGTCAGTGAGTCT